TGTAGGTACTGTTGGAGGCCACATGTGCTGCTCTGTCACGGTGTACAACCAGCACCAGCAGTCCCCAGGGGAAGAACCTGTGGCCATTCTGCCAGAACCAGGCTGCACCTGACACCCTGCGGATCTTGAAATCATCGCCAAACCTCACTGTAACTAACAGTTTAGCACCTTCCCTGGCCAAATGTTGGTTCTATTATAATTAAATCAAACTAAATGACTAGAGTTTCATGTCCTTTCCTTGCCTCTTAGGTGCTAAGTGAGAGAAATACAATGTGAAATCCACAACAAAAGAAAGAAGAAAAAGTGTGCCCTGGAAAAAATTAATCAGCCTTATCATGTGTTGTAAAACCACCAAAGACTGGACCAGGCTGTTTTTTATAAATTTGAATAAACACATTGCAACTTAAACAACCAATGAAAAGCTATCCTTTAAGGCAGCCATCCTGGGTCAACAGACAGTTTCCTGAAATGAGCTGCCGTGACTCAGAGATTATCTGTAGTGACTCTCCTGATACCACCTGCCCCAAAGCTGCTTGATGGTGCCTTGTGCAAAAAACTGTCATTTTTAACCCAAAAATGATATTACTCATCTATTGGCAGGTATTCCTATTTGGGTCCAAGTGATTTCTGGTATTTTTAAAAACTCTTGCAAAGATGAAGTCCACTCATGGAAAGCTAAGCCATTGTGAAAAAAAAAAATCTCTGTGAGTGAGGTCCCAGTGGAAAGAACGGGCCATCAAAGAAGGAGGTACCTTTCTCTGAAGGGAGGAGAGAACTTCCACTTTGACTATGACCTTGTCTAAATAAGGTCAGAGTTGGTGAACTCAAGAGGCTTCCATAGCCTTGGCAGCTCATGACAAGAGCCTCGGGTGATTCCTGATGCCTGACATCATAAATAAGAGTGTCAAATCGTTAAATCAACAATGGGAGTCACTGTGCACTTACTCCCCATGTAGGATCTCTGTCCTTAATGTGTTGTACTATGCAAATTAATGGTAAAACTACTACTCAAACAGTATTTTATACTTTGTGTATCTGTGTGGGTGAAAACTGTTGAAATCTTTACTTAGTATATACTAATTTGATCTGTATATAAAGATAATTGAAAATGAATCTTGATGAAGAATGGGATGGGAGAGGGAGTAGGAGATAGGATGGTTTGTGGGTGGGAGGGAGGTTATGGTGGGGAAAAGCTGCTATAATCCAAAAGTTGTACTTTCAAAATTTATATTTATTAAATAAAAGTTTTTTTAAAAAAAGATTAAGTCCACAGTGGCAGCACAGTCTCTGGCCAGCCACCACTCTCTGTGGCACTCTAAGCCCTGGCCACAGGAACCCGGGAAAGTCAGCAAGCGTTCCTCTGAGCCACGGACTTGACTGAGCTGACCAATCTTTGAGCCTCCACTGAGTCTCCACTTTCCCCAACGCTGAGAGCCAATACAGGTCCAGACTGCTCATCAACTGTCTGTGGGCCATGTGACTGAGCCTGAAAACTCAAGTATCCACCCGGGTCAGGCAAAGAACATTCCAGAATGGAGAAGGCTAGGGGAATCAATAAAGAGAACAGCCACTCAGGGCCCAGGGTTGCCAGAATCTTTAATTATCTGAAAGAATCCAGAAACCTGGATTTAAAAAAATTAACCTCCTTGGGCAGGCATTTAGCCTAGCAGGCCGCAGGTTAAGATACCTGTATCCATACCAGATGTCAGAAAAGGTATTTAGAAGGACAGGAAAACTTAAAATAGGTGAAGAGGAGTTGTAGGGAGCCAGTGTTTAGCTTAGCAGTTAAGATACCTGCCTCCCACATCAGAATCCCTGGGTTCCATACCCGGTTCTGGTTCCAGACTCCAGCTTCCTGCTAGTGCTGTCCATGGGAGGCAGTGGTGATGGCTCAAGTAACTGGGTTCCTGCCACCCTGTCCTGGGAGACCTGGATTGCGTTTCTGGCTCACAGCTCTGGCCCAGCCCAGTATCAGATATTACAGGCATTTGAGGAGTGAAACAGCAGACGGGATGGGAGCTCTTCTTCTCCCTCTCTCCTCCTCTCTCTCCCTTTCTCTCAAATAAATATTTTAAATAATAATTTCTTGATTATTAAATGTGGATAAAAATGTTGCATTTCAAATATAAGTACATAAATGCAGAATACACACAGACAGATATAACATTCTTCAGACCATATGGAGACCATAGGTCACAAGTTTATGCACTTGGCCACCCAGGCCTAAATGTCATGGGAAACTGAATGGATCCTCAGCCCTGAAGCCTACAGAAGAGCTCAGTATGGATGTTGGAAAGCAAATACAACTGTGAGAAGATGACTAAATATGAAAACCACAAACAAGTCCACTCGTGTAGTAGCAGAAAGGCTCCTATTCCGTCTCGCTTGGTCAAAACCTTTTATTCCATAACCATGTGACCTTATTATTTGCAGTCTGATTATAAGATCAATAACATTTTAAAGAGATGCCTTGGGCTCTGTAGATTAATCTTCTCAGCCTCCCTAATGAAGTCGATTTCAATGTAATGGCTTTTCTCTACTAGTAGTTTGGAAGAAATTATTGGGAACTCTATTTTACTATTTACTGATTAATCCGGACTGCATCAAATTGCAGCCAATTAATAACTGCTAAAAATATATTTTAAAGGAACAGAACACGTTTTGGTACTAAAGCAATATCAGATTTTCTCCACTGCCACTTGCTCACAAGCACATGTGAACTTAAACTTGTCTGTCCAGAACCACACATATGCTGGCACACACACATTTTGCCAAGAACGCCAGTCCCCACACGTGGTAAATGAGTGGATGACCTTGGATGAAAGGTCAACTGAATCCCAAAGTAACTGGTTCCCTGGTCTACAGGGCAGCCCGAAGCTTCCAGCAGAAACTGCCCCCTGGTGTAGATATTTTCTTTCAAGACCCATACTGAGACCGGCGCCATGGCTCACTTGGCTAATCCTCAGCCTGCGGTACAGGTACCCTGGGTTCTAGTCCCAGTTGGGGCAACAGATTCTGTCCCGGTTGTCCCTCTTCCAGTCTAGCTTTCTGCTGTGGCCCAGGAAGGCAGTGGAGGATCCAAGTGCTTGGGCCCTGCACCCACATGGGAGACCAGGAGGAAGCTCCTGGCTTCGGATCAGCGCAGTGCGCCGGCCGTAGCAGCCATTTGGGGGATGAACCAATGGAAAAAGGAAGACCTTTCTCTCTGTCTCTGTCTCTGTCTCTCTCACTGTCTAACTTCTGCCTGTCAAAAAAAAAAAAAAAAAAAAAAAAGACCCAAAGATCCATACTGAAGCATTGGAATTAACACAGTCATCCACGGCACTCGTTACTGGATTGCATGTCAAGGACTTGATGGAGGTGGGATTGCTATAGAGCTAATCAGGTACTTCCGGTTAAAGGATCCCAGTTCCTCCCCAGTGAATCAGGAAGGCCTGGCCTCTGCCTGGTCGCACTGTTAGTTCCCCCACCTCCCTCTTGAAGCGCCAGCGAGACATCTGCAGATGCTCATGAGTTGGTTTTGTTTTGAATGTGGGAAGCAAAGCCCAATGAGCTCAGGTGACTCTCGCTAAGGATTCCTACCAGCTCCCAGGACTGTGCCGTCACAAGGCACAAGCCGTCCAGCTCGGAGCCTCGAGGACGACAGGGAGCCAAGAGAAAGGCCAGGCAGCGGCTGGAGGGGCACGGGAGTTAGGTGGGAGGATGGAAGGGGTGCGCACACACACGTGGCCAAGTTGGAGGAGGCTCCCCTAGCAGAGGGTGGGGCACGGAGAGAGGCTCAGGCAGTGCCGCGAGCTCAGGCAGGGAGGCGTGGAGCCCAGACAATGGCACCGTGCAGTTCCTGATCCCTGAGCCTGTGGCCCGTGGCCAGGCCTGCTTCCTCCCTCTGAGAGGCACGGAGCCCCCGCAGCACATGGCCAGGCCTTGCTTCCTCCCTCTGAGAGGCACGGAGCCCCCATGGCATCTCCCAGCCTGTGCTCCCACTCTGTCTCCGCGTGCCCATTTGGGTCACCTTCCCGGGCCTGAAGCCAGCTTCAGCGAGGCCATTTTCTACATGAGCGAAGTGAGACACTGCACAATTCTTCTCCCGTGGGTCACGCCCACGAACTTCCCCCAGGGTTTCCTCTCTTGCCCCCCCCCCCCCACGCTGGCAGACAATATGGTATTGACCAGCTCTCTCACCCGGCCCTCCCTGCTGGCAGACAACATGGTATTGACCAGCTCTTTACATTGACCTTTCCATTAGTTTGAAGGCAAAGTCGGCTGACCCTGGCCCACATCGTACATCACTGAAGCAGAAAAAAAAGCTTGGGTTTCATCTGGAGGCTTCCCGCAAGTGCAAAATAAGGATCAAGAATCCGAGGCTAAGAAAGAACACAGGAGGAAGAGCGAGTCCAGCAGAAAGGTTTCAAGTTTTCATAAAAAGTCAGCGAGACTCCTGGCTTCATGGCCAATCTATGCTCTGGGCAGTGTCTCAGGCTCAAAATGACATGCCTTCACCCTCCTGGCACCCAGGGAAGTGGAAAATGGTGAAGCAGCCAGCAGAAAGGAGAACCTCAAGGTCACGGTGAGGGGCCCAGACACCTGCACTCTACTGCCTAGACCTGTCCGTCTGCCAGCTTGGGCCCGGGCAGCCTTGCAGGGGTGAGGAAGCCCGCAAGGTGCTTACCTGTGAAGACGGTAGCTCTGAGTCCTTCCCTGCCTGTCAAAGCCGCTGCATGGAGGGGCTCCCGGGGCACCTGAGGGGCTCTGCAGCGCAGCCAGAAAGGATCCTTAGGTGCCAAAATGGAGCTTGGAGCTGGAAGGAGGTGCCACCATGCACAGGCACACTCCCTTTTCTCCCAGACCCCGGTGAGAGGCAATGGAGCCGTGCGCATGTGTGACTTCCACAGCCAGACCACAGCTTCCATCCTGCCTTTCCTTCTGGCCCCATAGCAGCTTCTGCAGAGAGGACCCCCTGCAGAGAGGAGGCGTGGCCGCTGTGCCAGGTTGTCACTCACCTTGGCCTCCTCATTCACGTCCCAGGTAAAGGAAACCGCGTTGTACGCAATCTCTTCGATGTTTCCGATCGTGTTGAAGCTCTCCTTGTAGTCAGCTATCACGGGAGAAGAGAGAGGCTTGAGTTACTCGCTGTGTGCGCTCAACCATCATTGCCCAGCGGGTAAACATAAACTTCGCCAGCGTTGCTGGCTATCTTTATGGCGTTAAGGATTTGTGCTTCCCAATATCCTTTGGCTAATATTTACCCTGTCCGAACACGAGCACCCCCTCTATGTAAAGAGTAAATCTAAGTAGAGCAACGTTCTTTACAGATCTGTTTATTAGTTTCATTTGCCACTAGGTCTATGAAATTATGAAGGATTTTTGTCCTCTGAGTCCTATGTCACCACTCAGTCTCCTTCTCACTATGTGCCAGCCACTTAAATTTTGCTAGAAGTGCCACAGCACTCTTGAGGGTTGTTTTTTTTTCTTCTTCTTCTTTTTCTTTTACTGGTAGAACAGAATATTTTGTTTATCAGCCAGGCAGTGTCATGAGGACTTTAGCAAAGAAACTGACAACTCTTAAACAATTTCTTTTTGGTTTGGAGAATTGGATTAATCAGCCACAGCTCTGTTTCAACTCCTGTCCATTCAAGGCCCTCTCTCATTTTTTTTATGCTTTTTTTCTTCCCACAGCCTGCCTACAACACAATAGCAACACAATGCCTTTGATGTGTGTCCTTACAAACCATGCTGGGTTGTTTTTTTCTTTAGTATACAACATCACTTGTGTTGTGCTGTATAGGGTTGCCACGTTCAGAAACTATTTGGGATATACTCATCCTAGGAAAAGTATCAATTGTTCATGTATGTTCAGAGTTCACTGGGCACCCTGGATTTCATCTCATCATGCTCACCACGGACTTTCTGAGGTCTAACCACACCGCTGGCCACGTGTGCCTTGCTGTAACTGCATTGAATTCCGTAGCTGCCACCGGCCGCCATTTTCTTAGCCCTGCCCTTGGATAAACTCCCCGGTGGTCTCTGCTCTGTACCCTGTATGGCACTGTGATGGAGATCAGTACTCCCTGGAGCTGATCACAGAAAGGCTGCGCCATGCGCACTCCAGAGTGGGCTGCCAGTCCTGCCTCCCACTCACACTCTGGTCCTGTGTCACTCAATTCCTACCTTTTTGCCAATCTGCTGGGTACAAAGCAGCATCCCACAGACACTATATTTACACTTCTTCTACCACTTGTATGTTCAACCATCTCTCCAGGGTCAAGATAGCCAACCAGATGTTTCCATACATACAAAGGCCATAACTCAGCAATGTATGTTTAACATAAAATCATGTGTTCACCATAAGTCAGAGACGGAGAATAAAACCTTTAAAAGTGATCAAATCTACTCGCCACAAATAACCAACTATAAAATATCTGTATACATTTCAACTTCCCTATTTTTCATTCTTTTCTCCAAACTATGTCAATAGTAATTGTTTTTATTAAAAAATGTACCGCATCTTCAGCATCTTCCCATGTCAATAAACTGGTGGGATGCACCTTGTGATGAGCAATGCCACTATACTGCACTACCTGCCACAGCGTGATCTGCTCCTATTGGTCATTTAGATACTGTCTACTCCTTTGCTATCTCAATTAATATTTCTTTTAGTTATCTTTATAATTTCATTTATACTTAATTATGCTTCATGAAGGTATATACTCAGAAGGGAAAACAACAGGTCAACAAGGGGAAATCTATTTTTAAGATTTTAAATGCATTTTGTCAAATTGCTCCTAGAAAGGATGAAACAATTTCTGTTTCTGATTACAGTGCATAAGTTCATGCTTCCTTCCAAATTGATATGCGATTATTATTTCACTTTGTAATTCCTTGATTGCTACACGGATTGAACAGTCTTTCATTTGGTTTCTGGCTGCTTATATTTCTTCATATTCTTTCTCTTTGGTTTTAAGGAAGGATTCATGTAGGGGTGTTTTGGTGTAGCAGACAAAGCTGTCACCTATGTTGGCAGCATCCCACATGGGCACCAGTTCACGTCCGGCAACTCCACTTCCGATCCAGCTCCTTGACAATTAGGGCCCCTATCACCCATGTGGGAGACCCACATAAAACCCCTGGCTTCTGCCAGGCCCAATCCTGGCCATTGCAGCCATCTGGGGAGTGAACCAGCAGATGGAAGACATCTCTCTCTCTCTGCCTCTCCTTCTCTCTGTGTAACTCTGACTTTCAAATAAATAAATAAATAAATCTTTAAAAAAAATGAAAAGCAAAGACAAATGAAGTACAAATACAGACAAAACACTCTATGGGATCCCTAGTCTTGCACAAGGCACCTTCTCTTACCCAACCAACCACGGCTTGGAGCCAATGTTCACCACGTGCCTGTGTGTGCCAGGCAGCCCTCACACCCGAGAAGCAGCAGAGAACAAGATGAGTTCCCCAATTACGAGGCTCTCTTGGTGCAGACAAGGCAGAACATAAATAGGGGCTGGCGTCGTGCTGTAGCAGGTAAAGCCGCCACCTGCAGTGCTGGCATCCCATATGGGCACTGGTTCGAGTCCCAGCTGCCCTACTTCCAATCCAGCTCTTTGCTATGGCCTGGGAAAGCAGATGGCCTAAGTTCTTGGGCCCCTGCACCCACGTGGGAGACCCAGATGAAGCTCCTGTCTCCTGGCTTCAGATCTGTGCAGCTCCGGCCATTGCGGCCATCTGGGGAGTGAATCAGTGGATGGAAGACCTCTCTCTCTCTCTCTCTCTCTCTCTACCTCTACCTCTCCTTCTCTGTGTAACTCTTTCAAATAAATATTTAAAAAACAAAAGAACATAAATAAGTGGATAAATAAATTAGCAATACAATTATCCTTAGTGTTCTTTTTTTATGTCAAGAACAAAAGGACTGCTGAGAGCCCTTTTGATTGACTGGTTGGGTACGTGACTTTCTTTATTGCCACCATGGCATGTCCAAGTATTTTATTTGTTTACTATTTACCACCAGCATTTTTCACTAACTACACAGAGAATATGAGGATGAGGACTTACTGCGCTGTTTTTGCAGAGTTTCACACAAGATGTGCTGTATAGGTTTGTTGAATGAATAAATAGGTCCATAGTTGCTCCAAACAAAAAATATAATTAAGAGACTAACAGCACCTGCTCCTCACTATCCTTGGACAAGAGATGTCTGCTCATTGCTACCCTCTATTCGGTGTCCCCAGATGATAAAATTGCTCTGCTACCACTGCACGCTTCCCATTGCTTTCCAAAAGACCAGCTTCTGCATGGCAGCTACGGAATTCAATGCAGTTACAGCAAGGAGTGTGCATGCTTTCCGATAAATAGCACACTAATGGACAGATCTCCGGTTTCTCAACACTGTGTTAATGTCATTTGAGAGGTGCTATTTGCTTAAGGATTTACGGATTTACAACACACGGGATTGGGAGAGAAATTCAGCAACCTAGTGTTAAGCCTCCCTTAATTTATTTCCTCAAGAAGGTTTTTCAGACCCAACTTTTGAAAATGGTTGACAAGTGCAGCTGGTAAAAGGTAATGCCGTGGCATTCATTTCCATGAGCTACCTTAACAAATGACCAAAAAAAAAAAAAAAAAAAAAAAAAAAAGTGGTGGTCGATGAGAATAAACATTTATCCTTTGCATTTCTGGAGGCCAGAAGTTTGAAATCAAACTGTTGGTTCCTTATGGGAATTCTAAGGGAGACTCCGTCCCCTACCTCTCTCTGGCCGGCTGCTTGCCAGCAATCCTGGTTGTATCCCAACTCCCAGTGGCATCATGCCAGTCTGTCTTCACCCGGTGGCCTCTTCTCTTATAGGAGCAGTCAACCCAGGATGATCTCATCTTGAGATCCTCAACTTCATTACATCTGCAAAGACCTTCTCCTCAATTGAGGTCATATTTGCAAATTCTGGGGTTTAGGACAGGGACATATTTTGGGGGGTGGGTGGTCACTGTCCAACATTCTGCATCTGCAGTTCCTTGTATGACTAGATATTGTATGATCTGCACCTGGTTTCTTCTTGCATGGTAGACACCATAGCTGAGAAAAATTACCCCACTTTAGAAGAATTATAAAACATGTGATTGCGAACATCTTAAGTGTAGAACAGACTTTTTTCCCTACAAAAATGACAAGGCAACATTAAAAACTGCATGTTTTATACATTGGTTTAGAAACATGATAGTAGCTTGGCAAAAATAGGAGTATAAATAAGAAAATGGCTGAAATATTTCCATAAACAGGCATAATGGACCAACATTGTTATTGACTGATACACATTTTATTAAAAAAAAAAAAATCCTGCCAACTGACCAGAGGGAAGAAGGTAGCTCTTGTTAAGTTTGGTAATTTACACACAAAGGAGTTAAGCTAATTAGCTTTAAGCATTAAAAAGACTGAAACCATAGAGGAAGAGATGTGACTCTAAAATGATGAGAATAATGTTGATCTCACTGTTTACATCACGTTGCTGGAGCCAAAATCCGCGGACTCCTTTCTGAGCCTGTAATGTCCCTGGAATGTTAACGTGTGAAGAATGTGGGAGCACACGGCCGTGTCTGCTCTCTAGGGCCCCTAAGGATGCCTCTCAAAGGCGAGTGAGGTTTCTGGATTCACATGCTTACAACTGGGTGGAAGTTCTGTAACAGTGTTGCTAAAACACTGCAGGGCTTCACACTCACCCAGAGATATTTGATAGAAGGCAGATGCTAGGGCCCATACCTTGAGATTTTAACTCATGGACCTGTGGCATGGCCAAGAATCAGCTCCCAGTAAGGCTCATGGCAGGAGACCAGGCCTGGGTGACACTGGTTTTATCGCTGGGTGATTTTGTTTGTATGACAAATTGAAAAGACTGGATCCTCTGGTACACTTGGTTCACCCCACATACGGTCTTAGAAAGCACCACATCACTAAGGCCCTAAGTGAACTATCAATGAAGTCATTGACAGAATATTCTTCTTCCCTAAAATAATTCCCCTCTTAGGTGGACACAAACACCACACAGAAGAAGCTCCAGCAGCCGCCTACCTGGGGTGACTCAAACATCACTATTCCAAGTTGTCTGCTTC